ACACCCCCATAGGCAAAGTGGGGGAGAGCAAGGGGTCACAAGACCAGTCAAAGCAAAGCAAGCTCAGGATGGATCACAACGTCACCACACACACTAAGCACAAGCAAAGGGCCACAAGGCCAGTCCACATGCAGAGGTTTATATGGAACAGGAACAACATAGTGATCACTGTCAGAATGAGGAATGAATGATGCATTGATGTTGGTTGGGGTACATATAGCTAACCCTAACTTTTGTACCCCCTAAGACAATCCTCACTATAGGCTACCACATTTGACACACCCCCATAGCCTAAGTGAGGGGTGTCTAGCAGAACCAAAAGAGTACGGTCACAAGACCAGTCACAAAGAAACAAAGCTCAGGGTGGATCACAATGTCACCACACACTTTGAGCACAAACACCAGTGGCCAAAAGGCCAGTCCAAGATGTAACAGATATATATAGAAAGCGTACAAGCAAAGTAAACAGTGCACTCAAGTCTAAGCAAGACGAGAACCAGTGTCAACAAGGCCTAACTGCACACAGCACCTCTGGTGGTCACAAGGCGGAAGCGCCTTGGTGAAGATGTCTGCAGTGTTGGCCTTGGACTCCACAAACTCGAAGCGAGCCTGTCCACGTCTCTGCAACTCTCGCAGAAGAAAGTACCTGACGTGAATGTGCTTCACTCTGCTCTCCAGTCGCGGCTCTCGACAAAGGAGAATCGACGCCTTGTTGTCAGCGAACAAGGTCGGTGCAGAGCTCGGCCGCTCACCAAGGTCGGCGAGCAAGAAGGTCAACCAACGCAGCTCCTGTGCCGCCATGGCACCAGCGTGCTCCTGTGCCGCCATGGCACCAGCGTAGATCTCAGCCTCAGCTGTAGAGGTCGAGACCGAAGAGGAGCGCGTGGACCGCCAGGAAACAGCTCCAGAACCTAGGCTGAAACAGTACCTCTGAGTAGACCTGTGAGTCTCAGCGTTGTCAACGAAAGAAGAGTCACAGTGACCAGTAAGTACGACAGACTGCTGCCCTCCAAGAACTAGCCCCACGCTTGATGTCGTCGCTAGGTACTTCGCCACCCTCACAGCTGCTGTCCAGTGAACAGGACCGTATCTCCCTGGCGCAACAAAGCGCGCAAGGACGCTGAGAGGGAAGGCGAGGTCCGGGCGAGTACAAGTTATCAGGTACATGAGGCAACCCACCAGCTCTACGTAGGGACCATTAAGCTCGAACGGCTCGTCAGGAAAAGGACCAGTGAGTCTGTGGTCAACAGCAAGAGGTGTACGTTGTATTGTGGAGTGCTGAAGCCCGAACCACTGAAGGACCTGCTGCACCATGTGTGACTGAGAGAGTGTGATGGTGCGAGCAGCTCTGTCCCTGGTGATCTGCAAGCCAAGGTAGTGGCGCAGCTCACCAAGGTCAGTGCAAGTGTGTCTCTTCAGCAGTTCGGACTTCACGTCTGCCAAGGCAACCTTGTCAGTAGTAGCGAACACTAGGCCGTCGACGTAGATCAGAACAAAGAACGGTGTGGTACCTCGACGAACGAACAGTGAAGGGTCAGCAGAAGACGGCTGGAAACCAAGGTCAGACAGGGTAGAACGAAGGGTGTCGTGCCACTCACGAGGAGCCTGACGAAGACCGTAAACCGGTCGCCTCAGCCTCCACTGGGTCCCAGGAGGGAAAGAGCCAGTGAAGGCAGAGGGACGACGCAGCCAGACCTCCTCGTGTAGGCTACCCTGAAGGAAAGCAGTGGAGAAGTCTACATAGTGTAACTCGTGGTCTCTCTGTGTAGCTACGTGCAGTAACACCCGAAGAGTGGTCATCTTCGGGGTAGGCGCGAAGGTCTGAAAGAAGTCAACTCCCTTGCGCTGACTGAAACCTCTAGCCACGTAGCGCGCCTTGAAGACCGGGGGAGATCCCGGTGGCCGCTTCACCCTGTAGATCCACATGCCGTCGACTACGTTCGCCCCAGGGGGGGGAACCTCATCGACGTAGGTGCCTGTGGATCTGTAGGAGGCCATCTCTGCGTCCATGGCAGCTCTCCACTGAGAGGCCCAAGGCCCTGACACTGCCTCAGCGTAAGTGCGAGGAGTCGGAATGTCAAGGGCGTCGGGGTCACCCTCAGGGGCGAGGAGCATGGCACAGAGATGAGGGGAAGCGGCGGCCAGGAGCTCCAGCTCGAACTGCCTGTCCTCTAGGGCGTCACAGCCAAGGGCAGACACACCCCCGACGGCCAGAGGACTGGAAGGAGGAGCAGCCACAAGAGCGGTGGCGAAGTCAAGGCGGCGGGTAGAGGCAAAGTCAGTGACCACGGCAGTAAGAGCGGAAACAGAGGCACGAGGGTGAGTAACAAGAGAGGCGAGAACACGAGAGAGAACAGGACGGTACATGCGGTAGTAGTCAGTGACAGGAGTAGGGAGCGACGCAGTGAGGGCCGACTCAGGAGGAGACGGAAGCACAGACGGAGACGGACGAGGTGGACTAGAACGAAGTAAGGCAGTACGAAGGTCAGTGAAGGGAACAGGAGACGAGGGACGAGCACGAGGGGAGCGACGAGAGGCCCAAGTCTGAGAAGGAGGAGGGGACAACGAAGACTGAGAACGAGGGAAAACAGCGGGAGAGGGGTCAGGAGGAGGAAGCGGAGGACCAGAGACGGGAGGAGAGGGGGAGGAGGAAGGAGAGCGAGAGGGGAGACCAAGGGTCCGAAGACCCGAGACAGGAGGAGGAGGCGGCTGCTGCTGCTGCTGGGGCTGCTGCGGCTGCTGCTGCTGCTGCTCCTGCTGCTGCTGCTGCTGTCGCTCCTGCTCCTCGAGCCGCTGCAACTCTCGCTCCTCTCTCTCCAACTCCAGCTGCTCCTCACGAGCACGGCGAACACGAGCCTGGAACCTGGTCGGGTAGGGGTGGGGGGTAGTAGTAGTGGTCGGGGCAGCGGCAGCCCCAGAGTCCACCTCCGAAGCACCAGGCGCACCACCCCCAGAGTCAGCACCAACACCTGCTCCAGACCCAGGCGCACCAAAAACCAAAGGGGGGTCACCCGCACCCCCAGACGCAGCACCCCCAGACTCCGCACGACCAGTACCAGCCCCCGGAAGACAAGAGTCCTCTGCAACCCGCGGCTCAGCTCCAACTCCAGCACCCCCAGAACCAGAGACCTGTACAGGGACAGTCGCAGGACCAACCTCCCGAGAGGGAGCACCTGCAGGAGGCGGCGAGGAAGACTGTGGGGAGGGAGGCTGTACAGGGGGGGCTACCGAAGGGGGAGGGCTAGCCTGAGACACACCAGACGGGGCTGGACCAGGGGGGGGAGGCTGTACCGGGGGAGCAGGCGGGGGAGCGGCGGTCAGGAAGAGAGGGGGGGGAGGGACCGGGAGACCTCGACTGGGGTACCTGACGTAGTAGGGGGTGGACTCCTCGAAACGGACGTCACGGGAGTCAAAGAACCGGTGAGAGGGAGGGTGGTAAAAGGTGAAGTCAGAGGAGTCCTCGGGGAAACCAAGGAAGACACAAGGAACGGCGCGAGGCGAGAGCTTGTCCGCGGAGGTGTCGCGGACAAGAGCCAAGCACCCCCAGACACGAAACCTCGACGCGACACCAGGGGACCCTGTCCAAAGACTGGTCGGTGAAGCCTCTGGCCGAGAGACGCGTGGCCAGAGGTTCAGCTGGTGCGCGGCGTACCTGACCGCGTAGGGCCACAGGAAATGGGGGGCACGGGCGTGAGTCAGGGAGGTGCGGGCGATCTCCATGACCAGGCCTATGCGGCGCTCAGCAACCCCATTCTGCTGTGGGGACTCTGGAAGCGTCCAGGACTGACGAATGCCCTGCTCGCGACAGAATCCAGCGAGAATGCCGGAGCAAAACTCACCCCCGCGGTCGGAGTGGAGACAGCTGACACGACGACCACGAGTGTCCTGCGTGGTAAGCAACCACCTGATCAGCGTAGAAGTCACCTCAGACTTCTTCGCCAGGGGGAACACTGTGGTGTAGCGGGAGTAGTCGTCAACGACCACCAGAAAGAAACGCTCACGCTCAGGGCTAACGCGAGAGGCGGGGCCCCAGACGTCCAAGTGAAGCGTCTCAAACGGCTCAGTGGCCGGACGCAAGGAGGAGGAGTGAGGGGTGGCGCGCAGCCTACCCTCGACGCAAGGACCGCACGGTGGTGCAAGGGACGGCGGCAGCGACGGCAAGACACGCGGGAGACCTAAGACAAGACGCTGACGAGACATAGCGCGCAGACGGGGAAGAGAAGGGTGCCCCATCCGGTGGTGCCACAGAACGGTGGGGTGGGCAAGCGACCGACAGGAGCACGACGCAGCGACTGGACCAGACGTAGGAACCTGACAAGACACAGCTACCTGGGGGGACGGAGCAACCTGGTGAGACGCGGGGACTTGAACAGGGGGCGGAACAGGGGCCGGTGGCAGTAGGGGCGGCTGCCGCTGCGGCTGGTGGTGCTGCTGTTGCTACTGTGGCGGCTGCTGCGGCTGCGGCTGCTGCTGCTGCGGCTGCTGCTGCGGCTGCTGCTGCTGCTGGGGCTGCTGCGGCAGCTGCTGCTTCTGCTGTTGCTGCTGCTGCTGCGCTCGCGGCCTAGTGTGAAGAGTGTAGAGACCTGAGCCCGGCTCAGCAGCAAAGGTGGCCAGAGGCTGGTAAGAGTCCCCGTCAACACACACCGCAGTCTCTCCAGAAGGCTCAAACCACACACCCACGTGCTGACTCACGAGGGGTCGCACGCCAACCAAGTTCCGGGAGAACGAGGGGACGTGAAACCCAGTGAGAGACCCGGAGGGAGCAGCAGGACACGGCAAAGTGGTAGTGTGACGCGCAGTGACTGGTCCCGAAGTGGGATCAGCCAGCGCCACAGAAACAGGCGCAGTAAGTGGTGTAAGTGTCGTAGTGTCACAAAAGAAGCAGTGTGAGGTTCCAGAGTCAAGCGTGAATGACAGCGAAGCGTCCTCCGAGGTAGCCGCTGGACTAGAGTCTACACAAGAACCTACACTAGCAACAGGCAACTGAGCAAGGCTAGCACCTAAGCTAACAACACCAGAGTAAACAGAGTCAGAAACACTAGAGTCAACAACAGCATACATAGCATGAGAAGTACCAATCAGATCTGCTAACTGCTCAGCAGACATGCCCCACAGAGCGGAGCCGTAACGCTGAACAAGAGGAAGCCAGTCAGGGACAGGAACGCCAACCCCGTAGACCAAACGAACCGTGTCAGTGAGCTGAGCAAAGCACTGACCAGGGGGGTGAAGGCGGCCACAAGGGTGGCCCCGGCGAGCACCTGTCAGAACCTGATAGGTGCAGGGAGGGTAAGCAGCACCGCGCTGGGTCTGACGTAGCCCTAACCCCGGAGCCAGCTGCGGCCGCTGCTGCTGCTGAGGCTGCTGGGAGTAGAGGGGCTGCTGTTGCTGCTGACGCTGAGCCTGGTACCACGCCGCTGCTCCACCTAGCGGGGCCGGCAGTACAGGAGGCGACTGACGAACTCGGGCGTCGCCACCACCAGCAGGCGCAGTGGAGTCACCAGTCGCTGCACGAGACGCCTCTCCAGGCCCTGCACTCCCACCACCGCCAGTCGCAACGCCACCTCCACTACCTCCGCCTCCACTACCACCACCAGAACCGCCTTTCTTGCCACCCCTACCGCGGGACCGCGACGCAGTCGTAACAGCAGCTGCAGTCGCGTCAGTAGCGGCAGTGGCAAGAGAGGCAGTAAAGGTGGGTAACTGCGGGACTGTGCACCCGTGGAAGAGTGGGGGGGGCACAGCACCAGAGGCAGCGGCTACAGAGCGAAGGTTGCTCTCGACGTCCTTGAGCGCAGACTCAAGGACCTCGACGGTGAGCTTACTAGGGTGCTCCAGCAGAAGTGCGTCACGAACGAAGGCAAGGTGGTCAGGGAGGCTAGTGGCGATGAAATAGATAGTAATCGCCATGGGGGGAGGAAGCAGTGCAAGCTGTGCCTCAGTGCAAGCAGCGCGGTAACTAGCGTCGAGCGAGCGGAGGTGAGTGATCAAGTCAGCAGAGCGCTCAAAAGAGGCGAGATCAGGAAACAGGAACGGGAGGAAAAGGCGGCCAAGAGAGACAGTAGCGGGAGTAGAGTAGCGGGCCTTAATCGCAGTGAGGTACTCAGCAGCGGTGCGAACCTGAGTGAAGTGGACCTCCTCAGACTCAGGGAGGAGGCTGCTGAGCGCGATGCAGGCCGCAGCGTCACGCAACGTCCAAGCCGTCTGATCAGCTCGCTGGGTGGCAAAGTGGGCTCTAGCGGCGTCGTCAGGGGCAGGGCCTAAAGGCGTAGGGTCGGGGGGCGCAGGGAGGGCACCAGTAGCGTGCGCCCAGAGGGTCTCGCCTGCCTGGACCTGACTCTCTAACAGACGGCGAGCGCGAAGGAGCCAGACGGAAAAGTCAAGAGGTCTACCGTCAGCGTCGAAACGAAGAACTCGCGGAGTCGCCATAGCGAGAACGAACGTGAAAGGGGAGCCAGGGGACAGCAGTAGGTGAGAGGCAAATTAGTGTTCAGCGGTACTCTGGGACAGGGGAGGAGCGGACGCCACAGCGGGCGTGACAGCAGGAGCTAACAGCAGACGAAGCAGCGGGCAACGGGAGCGGGCGCAGCAGCGGGCGACGGCAGCGCGCTCGGCAGCAGGGGCCAGCAGCGCGCGCAGCGGGCGACGATAGGGGGTGCAACGACGACGCGCGCAGCGGCGGGCGACGGCGGCGGGCGCCGCAGCGAGGCGCGCGGGGGCGGGCGACGACGGCAGGCACGACGGCGACGAGCGCGGCCGCGCGCGACAGCGGCGGGCGCTGCGGGGACGGGCGACGCGACGAGGGGAGAGGGCGGGCGCGACACGACGGGAGGAAAGGGGGGGCGCTACGCGACGGGGGGAAAGGGCGCGACGCGACGGGGGGAAAGGGCGGGCGTGATGTGACGGGGGGAAAGGGCGCGACGCGACGGGGGGAAAGGGCGGGCGCGACGCGATAAGGGGAAAGCGACGCGATGGGGGGAAAGGGCAGGCGCGACGCGACGGGGGGAAGGCGACGTGACGGGGGGAAAAGAGGGGGGACGGTACGAACGAATGAGAGCTAGGATCAGGCTCGGGAGGTACGAACGGAGAACGGAGGAACGGGATCCCACAGGATCCTAACCTTACTGATACCATGTCAGAATGAGGAATGAATGATGCATTGATGTTGGTTGGGGTACATATAGCTAACCCTAACTTTTGTACCCCCTAAGACAATCCTCACTATAGGTTACTACATTTGACAAGAGCAAGCATGCTGGTAAATGTATATAGATCACAGTACAAGCAAAGCCTACAGCAAGTGTGGAAACGTAGGTACAAGGCCTAACAAGGTACAGAAACGCTGATGATCACCAGACGGAAGTGCCTTGGTGAATAGATCAGCGGTGTTGGCCCGAGTGGCCACGTGAGCAAGACGAAGCTGACCTCGCTGCTGCAACTCTCGAGCCAGGAAGTAACGCAGAGTGATGTGCTTCGTTCTGTGCTCCAGTCTGTGCTCCTAACACAAGGCAATGGCGGCCTTGTTGTCAACGTACAGAATTGGAGGAGAACGAGGCCGCTCTCCCAAGTCAGTCAGCAGGTAAGTGAGCCAGCGTAACTCCTGTGCAGCCATGGCTGTGGCGTAGATCTCAGCCTCACAACTCGAGCTGAGAACAGAAGACGAGCGTGTAGACCACCAAGAAACAGAGCCAGAGTGAAGACTGAAGGTGTAACCCTATGACGACCGCTGCGTAGCCTGGTCGTCAACCCAAGACGCGTCAGAGTGTCCAGTGAGGACAACGTCACCCCGTCCTCCAAGCACGAGCCCCATGCCTGATGTACTGCACAAGTAGCGCAGTACCCTCTTCGCAGCTTCCCAGTGCACCTTTCGATGCCTGCCAGGAGCCACGTAGCAAGTTAGAAGGCCAAGAGGGTACGTAAGGTCAGGTCGAGTGCAGGTCATCAGGTACATGAGGCAGCCCACTAGCTCTGGGTAAGGACCACTCGACTCTACGGACTCGTCCGAAGGTGGAGCTGAGAGCGAGTGACCTGTAGCCAGAGGAGTGGACTGTGGGGAGGACCAGGTGAAGCCGATGTCAAACATTGCATGTTTATATTGTGTAGGCTTTAGTGGGTTTAGCCTTAGAGGGTACACAAACTTAGGGTTTCCTACTTGTACCCAACTTCCTGCTAGTTCATCCATTCTCGTTCTATTCTAGATTCTAACATGGTATCAGAGGCCTAGGTTGCTACCTAGGACCGCTTTCTCCAATGGGCCCACTATTCCGCTAGACGCGCCCTCGTGCGCCCTACCCTACGTGCGCCCTCGTGCGCCTTTCTCTGCTAGTGCGCCTTCGTGCGCCCTCGTGCGCCCTCGTGCGCCCTCGTGCGCCTTCGTGCGCCCTCGTACGCCCTCGTACGCCCTCGTGCGCCCTCGTGCGCCCTCGTGCGCCCTCGAGCCGCCCCTGCAGGTCCGTCAGGCCCCCGAGCCGCCTCTGCAGACCCGTCAGGCCCCCCCCGAGCCGCCTCTGCAGGCCCGTCACGCCCGAGAGCCGCCCCTGCCGACTCGTCAGGCCCGCGCGCAGCCTCTGCCCGACCGCGCGCCGCCTCTGCAGGCTCTCGCCGCCCACCGCGTCGCCCTGTCCGCGGCGTCGTCGTCGCCTGCCCGCGGCGTCGTCGCCTGCCCGCGACGCAGCCCCTGCCCGCGGCGTCGTCGCCTGCCCGCGACGCAGCCCCTGCCCGCGGCGTCGTCGCCTGCCCGCGACGTCGTCGCCTGCCCGCGGCGTCGTCGCCTGCTCGCGGCGTCGTCGCATGCTCGCGGCGTCGTTGCCTGACCGCGGCGTCGTCGCCTGCCCGCGGCGTCGCCACCTGCCCGCCGCGTCGCCACCTGCCCGCCGCGTCGCCCTGCCCGCGGCGTCGCCACCTGCCCGTGGAGCCGCCCCTGGAGCCGCCCGCCACTGCAGTAGCAGCCCCTGGAGCCGCCCGCCACTACAGCAGCCGCCCCTGGAGCCGCCCGCCACTGCAGCAGCAGCCCCTGGAGCCGCCCGCCACTGCAGCAGCAGCCCCTGGAGCCGCCCGCCACTGCAGCAGCAGCCCCTGGAGCCGCCCGCCACTGCAGCAGCAGCCCCTGGAGCCGCCCGCCACTGCAGCAGCAGCCCCTGGAGCAGCCCGCCACTGCAGCAGCCGCCCCTGGAGCCGCCCGCCACTGCAGCAGCAGCCCCTGGAGCCGCCGCCACTGCAGCAGCAGCCCCTGGAGCCGCCCGCCACTGCAGCAGCCGCCCCTGGAGCCGCCCGCCACTGTAGCAGCCGCCCCTGGAGCCGCCCGCCGCTGCAGCAGCCGCCCTTCGAGCAGCCCGCACCTGCAGCAGCCGCCCCTGGAGCAGCCCGCACCTGCAGCAGCCGCCCCAGGCACCTGGAGCAACTGCCGTCGCGGCCCGGCCTCGCCCTGCAGCAGCTGCCGCGGAGCTCCCTGCTGCGGCCTGGCCCCGCCCTGCAGTTGTAGCGGCCCCGCGGTCGCCACCGTCTTGCGCCTGCCACGCCGACCACTGGTGAGCATTGCCCTGCCCGCACTGCTACTGCTGCTACTGCCTTTTCTACTCCCACTGGTACTGCTCCTGCTGTTACTGCTGTTACTGCCGCTACTGCTGTTACTGCTGCTCCTGGCGAGGCCAGATGCAGCTCCAGGGCCGTGCGCGTGAGTCCCTCACGCCCCAGCAGCTTCGTGAGTGGTACGCTAGTTGGGGCTGTCGGGGTGGCCGTAGTGGTAGTCGCTCTGGAGTGGGTCGGTCGGGAGCTTCTGGTAGTGGACAGGTGCAGCTGCAGTGTCCTCTTTCACCCCAGCAGCTTCGTGAGTGGTACGCCAGTTGGGGCTGTCGGGGTGGCCGTAGTGGTAGTCGCTCTGGAGTGGGTCGGTCGGGAGCTTCTGGTAGTGGACAGGTGCAGCTGCAGTGTCCTCTTTCACCCCAGCAGCTTCGTGAGTGGTACGCCAGTTTGGGCTGTCGGGGTGGCCGTAGTGGTAGTCGCTCTGGAGTGGGTCGGTCGGGAGCTTCTGGTGATGGACAGGTGCAGCTGCCGTGTCCTGTGAGTGAGGCTGCCGCTCTAGGTGCTAGTGCAGCTGCTACCCCAGGTGCTGGTGAGGCTGCTGCTCTAGGTGCTAGTGAGTCTGCGCCCCCTGGTACTGAGTCGACTGAGGCACTGCACACCTTCACTCTGGACTCAGGTGCTTCTCGCTGTTTCTTTCGTGACCGCACTGCCCTTGAGCCGCTTGCTCGGCCAGTTGCTGTCTCCCTCGCTGACCCCTCTGGGGGTCCGGTCATTGCGACCTCCTCCACTGTCCTTCCCTGTCCTGCGGTCCCGTCGGGCACATTGTCCGGTCTCTGTCAGAATCACTAGGCAAGAATGATGCAACTAGCAGAAGTTTGGGTACAAATATGAAACCCTAGTTGGGGTTGTACCCCATATTGGCTACCCCACTACAGCCTACAAGCATAATACAGTTTAACACACCCCCATAGGCAAAGTGGGGGAGAACAAAGGGTCACAAGACCAGTCCAGCAAAGCAAAGCAAAGCCCAGGGTGGATCACAACGTCACCACACTCCGAGCACAAGTAAAGGCCACAAGGCCAGTTCACATGCAGTGCTAGATATAGTACAAGACAAGCAACACAGTGATCAAAACCTAGCAAGCAAGCAACAAGATATATATAAAGTACAGTACAAAGAATGTCAAGCAGTGAGCAAGTGAGGAAACGTGGACACAAGGCCTAAAGAAGTACAGTGCCGCTGATGATCACTAGGCGGGAGCGCCTTGGTGAAGATATCAGCAGTGTTGGCCTTCGAGTCCACGTACACAAGTCGAAGCTGACCACGCTGCTGAAGCTCTCGAGCAAGAAAGTAGCGAAGAGCAATGTGCTTCGTCCTGTGCTCCAGTCTGTGCTCCTGACACAAGGCAAGAGCCGCCTTGTTGTCACCGTACAGAACTGGCGGAGAACTAGGCCGCTCTCCCAAGTCAGTCAGCAGGTAGGTGAGCCAGCGTAACTCCTGTGCAGCCATGGCTGTGGCGTAGATCTCAGCCTCACAACTAGAGCCGAGAACAGAGGAAGAGCGGGTGGACCGCCACGAGACAGAACCAGAGCCAAGGCTGAAGGTGTAACCCTGTGACGACCGCTGCGTAGCCAGGTCGTCCACCCAAGAGGCGTCCGAGTGACCAGTGAGGACAACTCTGTCGCGTCCTCCAAGCACCAGCCCCATGCCTGATGTACTGCACAGGTACCGCAGCACCCTCTTAGCAGCCTCCCAGTGCTCTCGCCTGTGTCTCCCAGGCGCAACGTAACGAGCAAGGATACTAAGAGGGTACGCAAGGTCAGGTCGCGTGCAAGTCATCAAGTACATGAGGCAGCCTACAAGCTCTGGGTACGGGCCACTCGGCTCTACGGACTCGTCCGAAGGTGGAGCTGAGAGTGAGTGGCTGGTAGCCAGAGGTGTGGCCTGTGGTGAGGAGAACTGGAAGCCGAAGCGCTGAAGGACCTGCTGCACCATGTGTGACTGAGTCAGGGTGATGGTGCGACGGGCTCTGTCCCGGGTGATCTGCAAGCCAAGGTAGCTACGCAGTTCACCCAGGTCAGTGCAGGTGTGTCTCTTCTGCAGCTCCGACTTCACACGAGCGAGTGCCTCAGTGTCAGCAGTAGCAAAGACCAAGTCGTCGACGTACACGAGGACGTAGAACGGCGGCAGCGACGTGTCAGTGCGCAGAAACAGCGACGGGTCAGCAGTAGACGGCGCGAACCCAAGAGCCGCAAGAGTAGTCCTCAGTGTGTCGTGCCACTCACGTGGCGCCTGGCGGAGACCGTAGACTGGCCGGCGGAGACTCCACTGGGTACCAGGGGGAAACGACCCAGTAAAGCCAGGTGGGCGGCGCAGCCAGATCTCCTCGTGCAGGCTGCCCTGCAGGAACGCTGTGCTGAAGTCAAGAGAGTGAAGCTCGTAGTCACGCTGAGCAGCAACGTGCAGCAAAACCCGAAGAGTGGTCATCTTCGGGGTGGGGGAGAAGGTCTGGAAGAAGTCGACCCCCTGACGCTGACTGAAGCCTCGAGCCACGTAACGCGCCTTGAAGACAGGCGGAGAACCCGGCGGCCGCTTCACCCTGAAAATCCACATGCCATCGACGATGTTCGCCCCAGGAGGGGGAACCTCGTCGACGTAGGTGCCTGTGGACTTCCAGGATGCCATCTCTGCGTCCATGGCTGTCTGCCACTGAGAGGAGTAGGGACCCGAGATCGCCTCTGCGTAAGTGCGCGGAGTGGGGATGTCTAGTGCATCCGGGTCTCCCTCAGGGGCAAGCAACCAGGCCACGAGATGAGGTACAGCAGCCGCAAGAGAGTCAAAGTCCTCCTGCCTGTCCTCAAGGACGTCCGTGCCAAGAGCACACTCACCCCCGACGGACGGAGGACAGACAGACGCAGACTCTGACTCAGCGACAAGGCTAGCAGCGTAGTCTAGACGACAGGCAGCAGCAAAGTCAACTAACTCAGCGACCAGAGCAGACGCAGCCGAGGACTCAAAGGTAGGGTCAGTGACAACAGTAGCAAGGAGACGCGTGACTGTAGGGTGCTCAGCGCGATACCGGTCAGACT